TTGTTATTCTGGAGGATTTAAATTTGCAGCAGTTTTGCACAGCTTGGATGTTCAATGGGAACAAATATGGACCAAAATGAAGAACTGTCTATCCTAGTCACCTCTACCATAGGAAATGCTTAAAGGGTGAAATTGAAGGGCATGCATTCTGACCCCTTTCCTCTCCCTGTCCTCGATTTCTGGCAAACTGCTGGCTAGTCCTGTGCTACTTCTAAAATGTCCTTGGGCTCAATTCAAAATGTTACTGTGTTGATTTTTCCCCTTCTCTGGAAATGCATCAGTTGAAATATTTGATGCATGGTGGGCATCTCTGATTAAACAGTGTTTTACTCTCAGATGAATGCTTGTGTACAAGTCATGCACGTTTTCATAAAAAAATACCTAGCAAACATTTGGACCTCCACTGCAAGGGCTTTGCAAGATTGGAATTAATCCTCTGGGTTTCCTATTTGTGTTCTTAGTGCAGGGACAGTCCACTTAGTGACGGTACATCTGTATTTTCCTTGAAATGTATTAAGTAAAATAATTTAATTCAGTGTGAAATAGCAATTTGGAAGAAACCTCTGGATTTGCTATGGAAATGACATGTTGCCAGTGAAATGTGGCTTATTCTGTTAAACCTTGAGTAATATGGTTTACTGACATCAGTTTATATCCCCCTGAAAAGGGAAGAGGCATAAATGTGTATGCATGTATGTGTGACTGGATCATGCAGGCGATGAAAAAGCCTGGTTAGCTTTATGTTTAATGAATGTAAACCAAATTATTTAGTTTGCTGTTCGGCATTATAGTAAAACCTGAGACACTTGAGGACTGCATGAGAAACTAAATTAACAATGACAAAAGAGGAAGTCTTCTGCAGGGCCAAGTGGCTTAAGCCAGAGGACGGTATTTGAAAAGGTGATGTGACACACAGTAGTCTTCCTGGGCCTTTTTGTTTGCCCCCAAAGTTTTAAGTCAGTCTTTCATTTTTATGTACAAAAAATAAACGTGTTCAAAATTGCATCTCTGTCTGAGTCTTTATTTAAATTGGAAGGAGAAATACTTGGAAGCCCTCTTTCAGTGTGTCATAAGTGGTGGAGGAAAGCTGCTTTATGAATTCAGTGTAGTGCTTGCAGAACTCAGACACATTTTACCTGTAGTAGCTTGGGGGTGTGGTACTGTGAACACCGAAGTCTCTTTCTGTAGACTGTCAGAGTAGAGCCTTCTCGTGCCTAAGAACAAAATGTCCAGTGCTGGGGTGTCTTTTTCACTACCAAAAATCTTTGCCTAGAAACAGTTACTTTCGAGCCGCTGCAGCAGGATTGGCTTCCAAAGCTGTGATGAGAGGTAATGTGATTTGAGATGTAGCCTGCCATAGTCTCTCTGAGGCCCAAGGAGACTTTTGCAGTGCTTGTGGTTAAATATGTGAGGAAGTGATTTGCTGGACTGAGACCTGTACTTAAAACTCTCCAGCAAGGATGTGCTTTATACTGTAACATGGAAATTCGTTCTGGAAAAGCAATGGCTTTCCAAGAGTACTTGCTCAGAGGCAGTAGTTCCTCCAGGGAACACGTGAAGCTGTTTGGTGTTGCCAGTGGGCTGCACCTCCACTGTCAGTTTTTAGCTTTTTTTTTTTGTTGTTGCTTTTTATCCCCGTACTCTGTACTGAATCGGTGACTTTCTTTTGGTTGTATGTCGCAGGCCGAGACTGACTGACACCTAAGCCTTCGAGACTTGTGAATATTCTGCAGCTATAAACTGCAAATTATTGACATGCAAAGCGAGACATGACCCCCCTCTTCGGGAACAAAAAGTGAGGTCTGTTAAGTACCAAGAAGACCTCAGTTATCTGTTTACAGCGTAAACTGCACCGAGGGGATGAAGACCACCAGCAGCGTGTGCTACTTTGCAAAACAATTTACCATCTTGTGTTTTTATAATGCCTGTATTAATGTAGAAAGATGTAAAAGAAATAAATTAGGAAGTATTTTGTTTTGTACTGCCATTCTTATTGTATTTTTATACTTTTTGGCAGCATTAAATATTTTTTTAAATGATGTGCTGATGATGATGTGCTGTTGTGTGCGCGCTATGTTAGGGAGAACCTGTTAAGAGCCTGTGTTGTGGAAAAAGAAGGGTTTTGCCTTAAGGTTTCCTGATATCTGTCTAAACTGGAAAATGGCAAAATTAGGTTGTGCTTTATGCAAGTATTTTCATTAATGCTAAGTATTGTAGTTTGATTTGGGAGGAACTCTTGCACATTTGTTTTGTAATACACCACTAAGAATATTATTTTATTAGTCTGACCAGTTGGTTTGGTAATTATTTTTATGTTTGCTATAAAATATGCACAAAATGTTCAGAGTAACTTTGTGACAGGAAAGTGTTCTGTTGGTGATGTGCTTTAAAGGGAGGAAAGAGGGAAAACCTGAATTCTCTTGACCCACGGTCCTGTGTAGTTAACAGGAGCTGAGGAACAAAAACGAAGTGCAGAAAAGTCAATGGTGTCTGTAATTAAACAGGTTTTGGATTGTGCCATTGCCGTGTGTTCTATGTACAGTGTTTTCCTTCACGTCTCCCACCTTCTGTCAGTGTTCTCCTTGACATAGTCAGGATGGATTGGAAATGGGTAAGCCAGAGTGCTGCTTAAAGTTCTTTCTATGAGTTCAGTAGGGTTTCCAGCCTATGCCTTCTGTAACAGAAGTGATCTCAATTCTGCACTTGTTCTCTCATGGTTTCAGATAAAACTTAACTCAAAAAACTATATATATTTACTATGACTCTCTAAACTGGCATGTGGTGGGTTTTACATGAAATTTGCACCTTACATATTTTTATAACAGGTTTTTGTACAAGTCATATAGTTACTGAAAGTGAAGTGTGTTAGTGAGGGGGGGGAATCTAGACCAACTGAGGCAATTTTTGCTAAAAAAGGCAGCAGCCTGAAATCTTATCAGAACTTGGTCTTGAGGACCATTCATGAAAGCAGTCATATTCAGAGTTGTTTTGAACTTGAAGGGGAAGCTGAAGCAGGGGAGTATTGAATGCTATTTCTTGAGCTTAAGGCATACTTGACACCATTCTGAAATAGTTAAATTGCCAGTCCGATTTGTCCAAATTTTTTCCCTTTACATGATTACCATTGTTCTGAGCCTGTGCTGGAGGAGAAAACAACATGGCTATTTGATTCAGTTTTCATGTTCAAGTTGGTGCAGCTGTGAAACTAGGAGTGTTTACAGCAAGAGATCAAGCTCTGCCAAAACCACTGCAACAACCCCTGCTATTGATTACAGGAACAGGGCCTGTTTATACCACTTGGGACATCTTTGGATAAGGCTTTCAGCTGTTCATGCTTTTTACCTTTAGCTATGGTTTAGGTTTTCATTATTTCCCCCCTCTTGGAGTTGTGAGTAAACATGCAGTGCATGACTACTGGAAATGTGCATGTGCCTTATTATTCTACCTGCTGCTGTCACATGCAACAGTTTATCTTGTGGGGCATAGATAGCTGAATATCCTAACATAAATGCTGATTGCCCTTAGTTTTTAAATGGTTTTCAGCTAGTGAGATGCTGGAATAAAGTTGATGTCAGCCAACTTGATGAACTGGCAAAGGAGATCAAGATAGAGGGGCTTTGTTGGGTTTTGTTGAGTGCTGTCTTGTGACAAGAGAAGTCTTGCTTTCTGACCTGTATACTTGTTTAGTTATTTCTACACAGGCCCCAATCCTTGACTACTGTTGGTAAAGTGTATTTAAAAATGTGAAGAAGGGGAGAGAAAGGACCAAGTGAGTGTGTAATTGTAGTCTTTAAAGAAATGGGGTTAAAATGATCAGACATGTGAAAGGCATTTTTTTCCAAAAGAAGAAGCTGTGATTTACTGTCTTTTTTTTTTTCTCCATGTTCAAGGGCAGTGTTGCAGAGGTGTTTTTATTTTTGCTAGTCATCTGAACAGCAGGGCAAAGGCACAGCCTTGTCTTGCAGGAAGGTTTTAGTGTGTGCAGGGGCTGTCCCGGGCACTGGAAGCAGGAGTGGCTCGGTGCCAAGGGCAGCTCCACCTGCGGAACTGCTGGCCTTGGAGAAGCTGCGTCCTTGTTCCTCTCACAAGGATCCGACTGCCCTCTACCTTCTTCACAGGGAACAGGAAAGCCCTGAGGATTTTCTCTTCCAGAAAGTATTCCCAGTGTTCTTTTCTCTTCTCGAGGTTTCGCTCCCTCAGCTGTCCCTCTTTAGGAGCTAGTGAACATCCATGGCTCACTTAAGAAAAATACTGTGAAGCAAGTAACACCCCTTTCATTGCTTCTTCAAGACTTAATTTGCTCTCCTGCTCTTTATACACCTCGTAGTCACTTGGCTTAATTTGAATATGGTTATTTTTCCAACTAGCTGTAGGCTTATCAGACTTGCCTTGTGCTACACATGACCTCTTGTCTGCATTCCCTGACTGCATCTGCATTTCAATTCACCAGCTTACCAGTCTGGATACCTGTGGGAACTCCTAAAAATATATTTTGGTTAATTCTGTCTTTTCAACTCTAGAACTGACCATCTTGCATCCATGATGTAAAGTTGTTTTTAAATCAGCTGATGTGAGCAAGCACTTCCAAAAGGTCAAAACTGAACATAGCTAACTACTGTAGTGCAACAGGTACCATCACAAACATTGAAAACTTTCCATCACACAGCTGTTGTCTCAGACTAAGCCTGCAAGATACATAGATACCAGACTGCCTGATATCAGGCAGGGTTCCCTGATGCCTCTGTATTTCAGAGCACTGTATTCATGTTCAGTCTAAGAAGGCTCATTGACCTAGAAAGCTTTAGTTGCAGCATCTTAGCAGCTTCTGGAAATGGAATGGAAGCCTGGAAAAGAGAAGGCTCAGGGGCAATCTAATTATGCCTCCCAGTTCCCACAGGGACCCTACAAGAGAGCTGGAGAGGGACTTTTTGCAAGGGCATGTAGTGAAAGGATAGAAGGAAATGGCTTCAAACTGAGAATAGGTTTAGGTTGCGTACTAGGAAGAAATCAGTGGTGAGGCACAGGCTCAAGTTGCCCAGGAAAGTTCTAGATGTCTCATCCCTAGAAGTGTTTAAGACTAGGTTGGCTGGGGCTCTGAGCAGCCTGGTCTAGTAGAATGTGTCCCTGCCTACAGCAATGGGGTTGGAAGGAGAGGACCTTCAGGATCCCTTCCAACCCCCACCATTCTATCACTCTGTGCAGACAGAAAAGACAGAACAGCTGTTACCTTGCTTGCAGTCTCCCCAGTTGATGCTACCACAACAGCATTGGTAAAAGAAAGCAAAACCAGATCACTTCTGACCTTCACTTACCTCACCAGGAAGTCTTGGAAAAAATGTTAGGATCCACAGTTGACGGGGAAGCGGAGAGTTTTATCTTCCAAGAAAATCCATGACTACACATCACTCTCAGTTCTCAGCTGCATTAAAAAGGAGCACCTTAAGCTTGTCCATGGCAGTAACACTTAACCAGGGGAAAAGGTTTCTCAAAAAATATTTTATTAGAAAAAACTTCCAACCAAAATTACTCAATAAACAACTGTACAAAACATATTTCTTTGGTGAGTCTGTGAAAGTTACCTTAATTTCTTTAGCTACCCACATACACAAAAAGAATTTTTCTTAAATAAATCATTTATGTAGACACAAAGCAAGCTGCTGCTCCTTGGCAATTACTGTGTAATCAACACCTCAAGGGACATCTGTGACCGCACACGTGACTCACAGCGAGTTCAGAGCTGATCAGAAGAGGGCAGGTGGGAGACCATTGCCAAAAAGTAAGCGCCAAGAACTTGGTATCTTCCACTGTGAAGAAGGATCTGTGGAATTGTTGCTCTGCAACAAACCCAGAATAATTAAGTTTTAAGTAGTAATGATATAACTGGCACAGGTATTAAAATAATGGGCAGCAGTACAAGTGTCTGTGTCACAGTGGGTTGCTTTAGAGAAGAGCACTGGAAGAGTGAAGTCAATCAAACCTTTACACAATTTTTGCCCACACCTGTCAAACAAAAGAACTGGTGTTCAGATTTGTTTTTTCAGGTGGGGAAACTCCCAGTGAGATTTTAATAAAAATATATATTTTATTTGGCATATTCTTGATGACCAAGAGCCAAAATGAACCCATCTGGACTGAAGAAAAACGAAAATAACGGCTATAAAATATGAAAGCAAGAACTTTAGATCAAACATTACTTACTTCACTTTTAATTAGCTGGAGCCATTCATTAAGATAGTTAACAAGAACAAATGCATCAGGGATGTTGTCTCCTTCTGAGCAAAATTTCAGAAGAACTGCCATTTGGATTCCCTCTGAACAGCTGCAACAAAAATGAGCATGCATTTTTATTTCATTTTTAGATCCACAACAATTATATTTATGTATTAAGAGCAGCAATAATATGAACGTATCTTGTGAAAAGGCAAAATCAAAAATGAAAAATGTATGTATATATATATTTTTTTCCTCTCCAGATTTCCTTGATCACGTTTTCACACTTCATGCTCTTTTGCTTAATCTTGAATTTGTTCTTTACTTTGCAAGGCAAGAATCCCACATCTTGCAAGAGTATTCAGGCCTTTTACATACTTAGTTTGCATTTTTGTGCTGGTGAGGTGCCTATACACATCCTTTGATAGAACCATTCCTTATCTTTCTGTGTATTTTAAACCAGCAGTTTTGCAGGCTGCATATCACTACTTCACTCAGAATATTCTCATTTTTAAATTTAGATATTAACCTGGTTATGTTTACATTTTTACCTCACATCCTGGCAGATCTTTTCTTTTGCAATTGTATATTGTTTCCATACTGAAGTCAGTATAAAGGTAAGCGTGGTATTAGTAACTTTGTTGCTGTTGAATGCAACAGTATGATCAGGTGTCAAAAGTAATAATTAAAAAATAAAAGTCAATTTTCCACCTGACACAACACATCTTTTGCAGAACCACACTGTTGTGCTATAAATGAGTACTAGTTTCTAAAGTTTAAAAATTCAGCTTTCAGCACAACTTCTGATGCATGCACCTTTTAACAAAACCTTCACACCTAAATTTTTGCTTCCCTGAAATCTTAACTCATTCATAGTGCTCAGAATTGTTTGCGGGTTTTGGGGGTGTTTTGTATAACTGATGTTGGAACCATTTGCTTCAGGAAATAGTTTTAGTTAAAGTAGCACAGGTACAGGAACTCAACTATTTACAAATTGTGGTTTGGATAATATCAAATACCAGATTGTTTGTAATCATAACTGTAAAGACTTCATTATTTTTCTTTAGCCTATTCCCTTATATTTTTATCTCATTATAACTTTATGATCCAGGACTCCCTACTTCTCTTCCTCTTAATTATGGGCCTGACCTGGAAGAAATTCTATTCCTATAAAGCCCTGTTCTATAAAAAGAAGGACTTCTCATTTCCTGTAACATAGTTGTTTATAAGATAATTTTACCCAAGTACTAAAAACAAGACTTCTGATATTTTCTGTCCTTATCTTTTGGCAACTCACCTCTCATTAAACAATAGTTTTGTGATGCCACCACCAGGTATATGCAGAACTTTGTCTGTATCACTTATTCCAGGGTAAGCTGCTACTCTTTCCATTTCTTTCCAGTTTAGCTCCTTCATGCGGCCTCCAACTGCTTTCTCCAGATCGGGGGTGAGCAGGTAGCGCAGTGGTGTCCTAGAAACAAGTCAAGGATGCATTCAGCCTGCCAAGGAAGGACACTTCCCCAGTTATCACCTGTGGCAGACACAAGGTGCAAGCACTGAGGACCTTGCACCTGCAGAGAAGGATTGCTCTGACATTGTCTCCCTCTTCAGATCAAAGTTGGAAAGTAAGTCTGTGGCCTCAAAACTGTACAAACTACTCATCTTTCTGCCACAAGCAGAACTTGGGTACCCTTTTAGGGGCTTAAATAACAGCCAAGTGCCAAATACATAAGCACATAAATACGGGAACTGCTTATGGTTGATAAAATAATTTACAAATAAAACGTGCTTTTTTCTTCCTTCAGATTGGAGGTGATTAATTCAAAATATATTAGGGTAAACCTGGACTTCACCATGATACAGTATTTTTAGTAAGCTCACACTACTAACACATAACACATTAAGACTTCAGTCAAGTTAAAAGTATTTTCTGAATGCACTACCCTCACTCTTTAGTAAATCTGCTATAAGGGAGTTGTTCTGTGGTGCTGAAGGAGCTGGGAGGGTTTAAATCACAACTTATGACTTAGACCTCATCAAATAACCATCAGTCCCTCTCATTTCATTCCATGTTAGTTGGCCATCCTGGAATTGTATGGATCTACCACTATATGTGGGATGTGCATAGATCTAAACCTCCTTTGAGGCCCTATAAATTTATAGAGCCTGAGGATAACAACTGCAGAAATACTTGTTTTATTTGCAAAAATACTGGTTTTGTTTCTCATGAAATCACCAATTATGAGGCCTTCATCCAGCAAGAAATTACTGTTTTTTGGATGGGTAATACCAAGTAAAAAAATATTGCAATTGCAGCCTTGCAGTTGCCTCCCAACAAATAATAACTGGTAACTTCCTATTAAAAAGAAAAAGAAACCAAAAAAACACCAAACCCCAACAACTTTCTGTATCAAAGAAAACCTTTCAAATGCAGAATGATGACAAAGAGGTCAGAAATGAATCACAATCAACCATTAAAAATTTAACCTGTGACCTGTATGTCAGCAGTTAATCCCTGACATTGCCTGCAGCCACAGGAAGTTAAAACTCAGGCAAAGAAGGTCAAGTGCAATTTGCTTACGGCTTTTCATTTGATCAGTACTTTTGGCAGTAGTAACCCAGAAAATTCAGTGACTAATCCTGTATTACATCATGTTTTAATACCATACTAAGCATTTTGTGACCAATGCACACATGGAAGCAAAAGCACCCTGCCAACAGTACTTGGTACATAGAAGTAGAGGGAAATATGTCAGTCAAAGAAACCCCAGAAACATCAGTTAGGTCTTTTAAGGACACAAACATACCCCAGAAGCTGCTCATCATCACGCTGGTAGGCGTGGCTGCTGGACAGAAGGACAACCCTGGCATATTTGCTGCTCTTCACCCAAGAAAGCAGAGTTTCACAGAATGGCCTGTACTTGTTCTTTATGCAAAGACACAGAAAATAAAAGTGAAAAATATAATGTGTCCTTAACAGTACTAGGTGTTATATGTAATATTTAGCAGTGATGTAAATTATTCTTCATATCCACTTAGTCTTCAGCCCCAGATATATTATCAGAAAACAGAGAACTGCCCTTGTTGTTTACTTAAGCAAAACTACACGTAGAATTATAAGAATTACAAGAATTATCATTAAGACCATGTCAACAACAACAGTACCACCTCTTTTGTGTGCCATTGATACCAAAGGAAAAAGCTTTAGAGCAAGATGGGATGGCAGGATCACACAGTATTTTCCACATTGAATTGCTAAAATACTGCATCACAATTTTTTTTTCTGTCATGGCATTCTGCTTATTTGAAATTACAATCACTATCCAGTTAATGAGTAATAGTATATTCCTCATTTTTACCAAATGAACACTGTTAAAATGAATATAGAATACTATGAAATAATTAAATTGGCATGACACAAAAAAGAATAAAACTATTACAAAGAACACACAAAAACAATAAATGTATAGAGACAAAAATAAACAGACAAAACCCAGACCATTTTGTATTTTTATGACTCTTAATAACTAAAGAGATATTTACACTAAAATCTACCAACAAAGGCAGCTGTTGTGGGGCTTGGAAAAACAAAAGCAAAACCTCAACCCCCAATGAATGCAGAAATCAATAAAACTGTACCAACTGCAGAAGGTGTTACAGCGTGAATAGAAAAATACTTTTGCCAGGCCACTTCATATTTCCCAGCAGAACTCTTCAGACCAAATAGTGAAGTAGGAACAATCAGTGAACATACATACCTTTATAAAAGGTGACCTGATCTGCAGAACTACAAGTTTCTTTGAAGGTAAGGAGTACACTACAAGAAGAAATCATTAAGTCTTGTTAAGCAGAACCTTAAAGAGATCTGAGTTTAAATATATCAAGAATTACTCCATTTACAAACTTCAGGATAGTAAACCTTTCAGCTATCAATTCATATGGGAAAGCCTGATAACATCCACTGTGTTAAAAACACATATTTCTGTGCTTTGTATTTTCATCAGACTTAGTTTCGTTTGTACTAAACTCAAGGATTGAATTATGAAAGATATATGAAGATTTGCCTCCTGTAATAATTCAGATAATGTATGCATCTTTGCAAAGAACGACAGATCCTTCTGAGATTTCTGTGATTTAAGAGGGTAAAAGAAATAAAATGAAATACAATGATCAATGTGGGGAAAAAAACTAAGAATTTGTAGGGGGAGTGGGAGAAACATTATACAGGGAAAAAGGCAAAGGTATATAGGAAGGAAAAAGAGTGGATAAGTATCCTTCTAGATCAGAAATGCAACTTGTATTCCAGTAATTTGTTTGAAGTATGTGCACACTTTGGATTAACAGCACTGAGAGTTTTGGCTGCACTGCAATATGGTTCATATTCAACATTTCTTACTGGTTCCAAATGTCAATGTCAAATGTTATTTTGGTTTTCCAAAATAACAACAGGAACAGTTTCCTCTGTGAAGTGTAAATACGTTCCTATCTGTAGGTTCTGCAGCTGTTATTACTGACCTTAATTTAAGCACATCAGCAAAATGTAACAACAAAAAAAGTAAATGTGATGTCCTTGCATCTTATGCCCCCTGCAAATACCTTCAGCATTCAATACCCACCTTCAGCATTTATACTCAGCTCCGTTGAGTTTTCCTCTGCTGTTGCATATGGGTTATTTCCAACCATTGGCACCAGGCAATCAGTGTAGAAGTAACCAACTTTAGTCATGTCAAGGGTGGAAATCACCAGATCTATTGCCAGCTGACCAACATTTCCCACGGACACTGCTGGCTGAAGTAACAGAATGAACTGAATTACAGCGTGCTTTATGGATGGCAGAAAGTGCTCTTCAAATAGTAAAAGCTTAAATTCCTTAAAATCTGGTCAAACATGATTTCTAAAAGTGGCTGCTCATCCTCTGGCAAAGGTGACTATTTCCTACCAGAAGAATTGGTAAATACAGGATTTGGTCCCTGTCTGACAAAAAACATCCTGGCCACTTATGTGAATAATCATGTCTCATTGTAAACTGAAAGAACAACTTGGAAACTTACCTCCTTTCCCACATTTTTTGATTGAGAGCAGGTAAAAGCCACTCAAGCAACTGATGTGAGACTGGCAAACCTCACACGATGCCCAAAGGCAGCTCTGGTATTATATTTTAAGCCTCTAAATTCAGACTGAACCATAGAGAAGAGTAGGCTGTTCTTAAATTTTTTAAGTATGAAAATGATAAGGGTGCCCTTAAATTATCTGCACAGGAATTGCTGTGGGTTGTCATCAATCGGGGCAGACACCGACCTAATATACTGACCTAATGTGATAGCACGGAAAGAGAAAGTCAAAAGTCTGTGTCCTTCCACAGAAACTATTAGAGGAAGACAACCATAAAACGTTCGGTTGCTTTTTCCCTCTAATTTATAGTCAAATCCAAGAATTGCTGCTGCTGCCCACTGCGGAAAACCAGCGGATTTGGGGCTGGCGGAGGGTGAAGGGGGCCGGGGCAGCACGGAGTGCCCGCACTCGCCGGGGCCGGTGCCGGGCCAGCAGCTCGGCAGCGATGCGTGTGTTTCCTGCTGCTTGTCAGCTGACCGGGAATGACTTCCTGCGCAGCCTGCACAGTCATCCCGGGCTGGACAGCCCTGCCTGGGAAGCGATGGGGTTCCCTGCAGCTAACCCAGCAAAGAGGGAAAGAAATGACGGGGTTTGCGCCTCCGCAGCCTGCGCTGGAGCGCTCGTCCCACACCGACATCGTCACCTCGGGCACATGACCTGACACTGGTGTCACACCATGTGTGAAGGCGATAAAAACACTTCCTGAAACAATCCTAATCCGAGATTTAAATGTAGCAGAATTATTTTTTTAAAAACATTGGAAACATTTATATATCGCTTCTAAATGAAAAAAAAAAAAATCCCAATCTTTTATTGTAGTGGCAACCCATGGGTACTGCAAATCCAGCAAAAGCACATAGGGCGCATTAATTTTTAGAGCAACAGCATATAGCTATAGCTCCGCAATAGCATATTGTTTGAGCTACGGCTCAAAAATAAATATAGCTATTGCAGCTCGGCACGGATCGTCGTGACACGGGCAAAACCGGGGTTCTGAGGAGGGAGAAGTTGGCAGAAACAGAGAAGACCGCGCTAAGCTCTGCTGCAGAGCCCTCCAAACCCTCTTTTCCTCGGCAGATTCCACACACACCGCCTGCCCTGCGCCTTCTCCGCTTATCCCGCGGCCAAGTACCCAGGGATGACCCTCGGGCAGGGCACGGAGAGACACCAGAGCCCCCCGTGTCCCAGAGGAGCGGAGCGGAGCCCTCAGCACAGGGACTGCGGGCAGCGATCCCCCAAACCCACCGAGGGCGGGGAAAAGGGGGAACAGGAGCGTGACTCACCATGAGCAGAGTGAAGCCTTTAAAGTCCGGGACGGCGGAGCCCCCGCCGCGGTCGCATGGAATGAACATGCCGGCCGGGAAGGGAGGAGGGAAGCAGGGAGCGAAGAGAGAAAGGAAGGAAGGAAGGAAGGAAAGAAGAGAGGGAGGGAGGGAAGGAAGGAAAGGAGGGAGGAAGGGAAGGAAGGAAGCGGGGCGCGGACGCCGCGCCCACGTGCTGCCGCCAGGGGGCGGTGCCGGCGCTGCCCGCGCTCGCTGCCAGGCGGTTGGGGCCCGTTCCCGGCTGGCTCCGCCATGTCGCTGCCGCCGGAGAAAGCCTCGGAGCTGAAGCAGATCATCCACCAACAGCTGCTCAAGGTGGGACTGGCGCCCGGCCCGGCGCTGGAGAGACTTCCCCTGGCCCTCATGGGGCCGTGTCGACCCCCGTGCCGGTGACACCCCGCCGCTGGTGGCGGCAGCGCCCGCTGAGGCGGTGGCGGCGAGCGCGCCCGCTCTGGCGCCCAGCTTTGTTTTCCCAACTTGCAGGTGTTTTCCATGCGCCGCTTTGTCGTTTTCTTGTTGCTTTTTTGAGCTAGCGTCTTGAACTGACGGGGAAATAAGTAAGGAGGCTGTAACTCCTGTATGGCTTGTTAGCGCCATGGTGAATATTCCTGCGTGTCACACAGGAGAACGGGGTTCTTGGGGCGAGTCCAGAGGAGGCCAGCAAGATGATTAGAGGGAGGCAGCACCTCTGCTTCGAGGAAAGGCTCGAACGGGAGAACCAGGATTGTGCAGCCTGGAGAAGACACGGCTCAGTGGAGACTTTATAGCAGCCTTCCAGTACCTGAAGGGAGCCTGCCTTCTGAAAGGAGACAGACTTTTTACCAGAGCATGTAGTGACAGGACAAGGGGAGATGGATTCAAACTGAAAGAGAGCAGGTTTAGGTTAGATATCAGGAAGAATTTTTCACTGTGATGCGTACTGAGGGACTGGAACAGTTTGCCCAGAGAAGTTGTGGATGTCCCATCCCTGGAAGTTTTCAAGGCCAGGCTGTGTGGAGCTCTGAGTGACCTGTTCTAGTGGGAAGTGTCCCAGCCCATGGCCGGGGCTTTGGAATGAGATATCTTTAAGGTGTTTTCCAACAAGGTCGTTCTGTGATTCTATTTCAGGTCCCGGTGGCTGTGTCCTTATCATCCTTTAAGTGTGAGACTCAGCTCTATAAAGCCGTCTGCTTTCACAGCTCGGGTGATAGGCAGACATTCTCAGACTTCCTTTTGAGTGTAGGAAAAGTTTGCAGTGAAGATCTGCTACTTTTGTGCCTTACCTGTATAAAAGTGTATTTTTTCCCTTAAAAAATAAGGAAGTATTATATTAAGCTTGAATTTTGAGGGAAACGAGAAATTAGAGCAGTGACCATTTTGTAATTGATGGATTTGCAGACCTTTTTGTGAGGAGGGAAGTTCAAGATGGGTTGCTGTAAAAGAGCAGTGAAAACGCCTATGCTTATAACTTTTTTTTACTGGGAAAGCTGCTTTTGTAAGATGGTGGCTCATTTGATTAGTTCTGAAAGGATCAATATTTCGGTGTAGTTATTGCTGTTTTCCTGAGTAAACACTCTTAGCGTTACAGACTTAATTGGTAAGTTATACCTGCTGCCATAGAGAGAGCTGGTGTTTATAACACACAGTGAATTTTCTTTCAGATGGATGTCCATGGGAGGATACGAGAAGTTCTTGCTGAGACTATACGAGAAGAGCTGGCACCTGAGCATCAGCAGCTGTCCACAGAAGATCTGATAAAAGCCCTAAGACAGCGGGGAATCATTGATGATGTTATGAAGGAACTTAAATTTGTAACCGTAAGTAGCTTTTGAAGAGAAGAAGTATTTCTGCTTGTTCCTCTTACTGATGTGGTGTTTTGACCAAGTGATGAAACTGTGCTGCTTCTGGAGGTTTGTGAGGGCGTTACTGATTTGAGACATTATGGGAGCAGAGAAGATTAGTGCATATGCTGCAATTGGTTTGGTGGTAATACTGCACTGAAAATATTTATTCCATTTTAAAAGGGAGCATACCTAAAGAGTGGCATTCACGTGAAATGGAGGATTCTTTAATTTTTAGAAGACTCTGGTAAGAGCACTGTTGCATCCCTTGACTCCTTAAAAAGTCTTAATTTTAATTCCAGGATGTGAACGAAACGGAGAGGACTTTGGCTCCAAAACCATCAGCACATTTTGTTGACAGAGAACCACCAGTTTTGAAAAAAAGTATGTTTCTTGTTTATTTAAATGTTTGGATCATAGTTTTGAAACGAATTTGAAGTCTGTGATTTTTGCACTCCGAATTAGTAATCCAGTATGAAAGATATACAAAAAGGCATATAGGTGGATGTTTCCTGTGCTTATCCACAGGGAGTAAACTCATGTATCAATCAGTGTTGCATTAAATATGATTTACTATTATTATTTCATTTACTTTACACTAAGATAACTTCCATATATTTTAAAATTACTTTCTCGTAAGCACGTGTTTCAAAGAAGTTTCTTTTTTTGCTAGTCTCCTGTTAGTTAGATGATATTTAACAAATTAAGCTTTCTAAGATCTGTTTGTAGTCTCTTCATTTTTATTGCTGCACTTTACAGCTAACATTGACCCAACACGGAGGTATCTTTACCTTCAGGTTTTGGGTGGAAAAGCTTTTCTGGACCATCTTCAGGAACCAGAGCCTCTGCCTGGCCAGATCTGTTCTACCTTCACTCTGTGTTTACATTTTCGAAACCAGCGCTTCCGTTCCAAACCTGTACCCTGTGCCTGTGAGCCAGATTTTCAAGATGGATTTCTACTTGAAATACACAAGGATAGCCTAGGTAAGGAATATTGTGGGTTTGAAGCTGATGCTGTTGGTATATTTTCTGACATAAGAGTTTTTGTGAAATATGTTTGATATTTTTTAGTGGATTTCTTTCCTGGTTTTTGTCACGTTTTCCTGAGGAGACTGATTACATAACTGGGTTATGCCACTTGTAGATCTTTCTCTGCTCTTGCTCTTTTCTTTCTTTTTCTCTCTAAAATAACATTGAATTTACCAACTTTATACATTCTTAAATGTTAATTCCATTTTAATTTTTGTGTATCTGAACTAGTTGTATCCCAGTACTCAACTACAAAAATAATTTTATCTTCTCTGTAATCTTTCTGTAGCTCTGTCCTAAAATGAGTATGGTTTTAGAGATGGGATCATTGCTTACACTTCTGGACTCAAGATCTTTCTTCATACTTACTAAATACATTGCATTTTGTTGCATACTGTTTTAAAGTTCTGAGGAGAACTTGGGATGATCATATTCTTACTGTCTTATTTTGGTTTAATAATGGCAGGTGATGGAAGTAAGATGGTGGATGCAACCACTATGTTATCTATCTCTGACCCAGTGCACATGGTTCTGATAAAGACAGACACCTTTGGTGAGACCACACTGGTAGCATCCTATTTCTTGGAGTGGAGATCTGTCTTGGCTGCAGAGAACGGCATAACAAATGTTGCTGTGGAACTCCTGGGTGTAGGTAAGGATAAAAAATAAGCATGTTATGATAACTTAAAATATTGGGTACTGTGCTTACTTACAAGCTTAAAGCACTATTTTTCATCTAGTTAATTTTTTTCTTCAATTCAGAAGTAACTGTAAAGTATCCTTAGAAAATGCCTAGAAGACTTAATGGTCAGATATTTCTGTTACCAAGCTGCTAAAAATGAGTATTCCAGATCTCATGTAAAAATGGTCCTTATGTCTTGGAATTCCCACTGTTGATTATCTGCAAAATCTGGTTAAGTTATCAGAATGAAACCAACCAAACAAAAGTCCAGTAGTTCATCTCCAGGAATATATCTGCTCAGTGCATGGGGGAGTAAAATCCAGCTTGTGTGCTTTTCATAGCGAACTAACAATTGCTGGAGAAAGGGATCTCTGCTCTGCTCCCATTTATCCCAGTAGCTGGAAAAGTGTTTTCTGAATGGTTTGGTTTAGGTGCTTAGCAGTTAGTACACATGTGTATTTTTGTGTATCACTTGTCCCCAGTCCACCCTCAGGAGTTACTACCCAAATTTTTAGGATATGATTTAGTGAATAAAGACTAGGTCTCTCATGACTTCCTACAAGACTTTTTACAAGAATGAGTAATGACAGGACAAGGGGGGATGGATTCAAACTGAATGAGAGTAGATTTAGATTGGATATTAGGAAGAAATTCTTTCCTGTGAAGGTGATGAGGCACTGGAACAGGTTTCCCAGAGAAGCTGTGGATACCACATCCTGAGAAGTGTTCAAGGTGAGGTTGGATGGAACTCTGAGCAATGTGATTTTGTGGCAGCTGTCCCTGCTCCTGGCAGGGGAATTTGAACTAGGTGATCTCTAAGATCACATCCAACCCAAGCCACTCTTGATTTTAATTTTCTATAATGACTTGGAAATGCATAGCAAATAAGTTGAGTTTAATTCTCGAATGGGTGATGGACCAAGTTAAATTTAATTCTCATTAGCTTTTTTTTTCCAAGTAATAAAGTATCAATCCAATAAATCCGGTGCTTTTTCTCCTTTTCCAAATCCTGTCATTGTACAAAATGCATCAAGAACATCAAAGGATGCTGCCATCTCAGATAAACAGATAAACTATTATGCAAGGCTTCCATTGCTTGTATTGCTTATGGACCCATCTGTAATCTGTTTTGTAATGCTTATTGTCGTTTATGTAATTTAACATTTTCAGCATTAGACAACGACATTAAGTTGAGGGCGTTGCTGTTAGTTTGTTTGTTGTTTTGGGAAGTTTTTTAAAGTTTATTAATCTCTTTGTATGACAGCCAGGGTCCTTCATAATTAGCTGTGTCCTGGGAGAAGATGAACTTCACTAATTTCCAACTATTTAAATTTGAGCTACTTGTATAATCAGTAGGAGTAGGCACATTTACGGTGTGTGATTCTCTGACTTGATTTTAGATGTCCATCTAGACATTTCTACAATATCATTTTAGAATTCATCTCATATGTCCCCGTACTGGCTGCAAATAGGGCCTTGTATAATTATGTGCTTCTTTTCATCATATAATGCTTTCTTACAGCCTCATTT